TTCATGGTATCCAATTCAAAAATGATGATTATTGTTTATCAAAATCAATCATTAAGGTTTTTAAGCATACACATTTAGTTCTTGATATCCAGCAACCATGTAATTGTTTTGTATTTATGTTGCAAAACATCACTTATGCAGACCAGGGATCAGTGTCCCATCTCGAGGTTCTAATAGCCAAAATCTGTTCGTTTTTGGTATTTCAGAAAGATTTAAGAATGATAGTTTTTTTAATTTCGTGAATACAAACCAATTTATTTCAGATAAATGGGTACATTTTGCTAATGTTAACTCAGTAAGAGTCAATGCCACACTATAAAGAAATGAAGTTGTTAGATTTTTGGGTTGTGATTGTTCATCATAGATTGTTATCGTTGTTTCTAATGAAGAAATTGGATTCGAACTTAGAACAAGAGATGCAATACGTGTATGATTAAAAACCCATGGATGAATTGATTCAATCAAATTATTACTCAAATCAAGTGTTTGAAGGTCACGTGCATTTTTAAATGTATTTTCATTTATTTTTTCAATTAAATTGTATTCTACTTGTAATACTTGTAGATGTGAAAAATCTTGTAATAAATCGATATTTCGAAGAAAATTGTGTGATAAAACAAGAGAACGTAGTGTTTGATTTAATGGAGACAAAAATGATACGACTTTATTATCAGTTGTTACAGTTTCCAATGATTTTAAATGAGTATTATCCATAATTAAAGAAGTTAAAAAATGCAATTTAATAAATGCATTAGGCTCGATTCTTTTTAATGGATTTTGTGATAAATCGATTTCATTTATTAGATTTTCACTTGTGAATAAATTGGATCTAATTTCCGAAATATAATTATCACGCAAATTAAGAGTTGTAATATAAGGAAATTTAACCAAAGAAGGAAAATGAACTATGCCACTAGATGATAAATCTAACTTAGTTAAGTGATCAGCTGATAAACTATCATAAAGAAGATCAATATTTGTTAAGGAACAATTATTAAAGTAAACATTTGTCCAATATAAAGTCGATGATTGATTGGATATCAATTGAACTTCTTTAGAATTTATAATACTTATTTCATCAATAGTTGTATTAATAAATGCTTTTAAATTGAGTTGATATGGTGAATTGTTTATATCATTATATTGAATATTGTCAATGATCAGTTCTTGACATTTTATTTGACTGAAGGCATAATCAGCAAGTTGATAATTTCTTGGTGAATAAAATCTAATATAAGTTAGAACATTGGTAAAATAATTCAATACTTCAAAAGTATTTTCTGATATTTCATCAATTCCATTTATAAAAGTGAAATTGACTTCACGAAATGAAGAAAATTGTGATGAAAACGATGTAAATGTGTGAGTTGTTAAACGAGTGAAATTAATAAATCTAAATGCAACATAGATTTGTTCAGTTGTTGAAAATGTTGACCAATCGATAAATGTCTCAGCACTTGCTTGATTTTCAATACAAGTTACTAAACGTTTTTCATAATTACAATTGCAAGTAATATTAGAATTATCAAGACATATAATTTGTGATTGGATTAAATTTATAAATGAAATTAGATGAAAAATATAGAAAAACACTTTCAAGACAAACATTAATGTAATTAAATTTAATAAACTGATATGAAAATGAAATCTTTTTATATCTTTTCTTTTGTATGTTATCTATTAACATGTATATTTTTATCATTGAATCTCTTGTAATACATAAGGTCTCAAGGAACATTATGAATCATTGATAAGGATTCTGTAAGAATAAATAATAATTGTCTGGCATTTTTTTACAAAATTGATGAGAATATGTGTGATAGATTTACACATTCGTCTAATCATTACTCTAAAGATTTGTAATATGAATCTTTTTACTAAATTGAAATGGAAAATATCAAGAATTATTTTGACAAATATTAATTATATACAAAGAAGTTTCATTTGTAAAGGTGAACTTAAAGACAGATAAAATATTAGTAAGAGACGTGACAATTTGAAAAGGTTATTTTAAAAGAAGAAACGAAAGAATAAAAACAAATAATCATTTATATGCATCAGAAGTTCTGTTGACAATGGCGTTGAAAACATTTTTTGTAACTGATAAACAAGTAACGCTCGTCGTGCCAACTCACTTAACCCTCGACTGTGGAAGACAGATAATTTTTTCGTGTCCCAATTGTGAAACAAATTGATCTAACAATTTTATATAACCAAAGAAACAATTCATATGTTATTCAGTATTTTGTTCTCGAAAGTTACTAAATGCATCTTTGAAAAAACATTTGAATTGTTTCTTCATGTATAGAATGGTTAGATCAATTTGTCTCACAATTGGGACACGAAAAACATGTGTGTCCTCCACAGTCGAGGATTAAGTGAGTCGGTATAACGAGCGTTAATTGTGCTTATGTGCTTTATTTTCTTTATTTGAATGATTATATCAAAACTATTCTGGTAATCCTTCTTCTTCATACTCTTTATTTTCTCATCCTTGTTACATACCATTTCATTTGTTTTTACATGAGTGTCAAAATATTTGATTACCTTATTCGTGAACATCCTTACATTTTCATTACTTTATACTTTTTCTCTGTTATTAAAGGTACAATCGATAAAATTAACAAAAAGAAAAACAAAGCGCAGCCTTCCAGGTCAAGATTTTCCTGGTCCGTCGAAAATTCTTCGTAATTTTTTCTTTTTCCAAGATAAGTGTACACATAATTGCGATTTTTTGCAAATAAAAACTTTGATCATTGTCGAAGAAAATTTTTCTTTGGGAAGAGAAGATCTGATTGTCTGCAATTATGGTGATTCCGACCGATCAAATTCGATCGTAATGGGCTGGTAGAATTTACAAAGAAAAAATACCGTTCTTTTCTCATGTCACTTTATCAGTTGTCTTTGTTCTGTTTTCACACATTGCGCTTATCTATGTCATTGTCTGTCTTATAGTCGAAACGGTTTACCATCGATTTTTACAAGGATAACGAGAACATGAAATTCGATGATTTTTTGTTAACAATCAACGATTTTGGTCGTTATCAAAAATTCAGTTTGTTCTTTATTGGTTTAACTTATTCGATCACGCCAAGTTTGTTTCTTTTCGGNACGAATCTACTGTGTGTAAGCTAAAAACTTTTTTCCAGAGTTTGTCCGGTCCATCAAACCTAGTCCATTCGATTCAGAATTTAATTCTGCATCGAATGGTCGTATTTTTATTCACTGGACAAACTTTGGAAAAAAATTATCGGAAACATAAATAGACCTATATGAGGCAAACAAAGATGTGGTTAAACTTTTTTCTAAAGTTTGTCCGGTGAATAAAAATACGACCATTCGATGCAGAATTAAATTCTGAATCGAATGGACTAGGTTTGATGGACCGGACAAACTCTGGAAAAAAGTTTTTAGCTTACACACAGTTTCTTCGTGCTAGCTCCTTCGTGCTAGCTTCACACTGATTGCTCGAACAATCTTCAATATAGAATGTGAATCAGCAAGAGATATTCGCAAACATTCTTGTTTTCCATCGGAAGACGAGATATTGCTTCTTCCTGCTACTCAATTTCAAGTAAATGGCATTCTTAATCAAGGTGATCTTCATATTATCCATCTGAAAGAAACACAACCACCATTTCCACTGTTACAATCCGTATCAAGTGTTGCCTCCATCGCCAATAGTTCGATTTTAGCAGGTAAATATCAAATTATTCTATAGTTCGAAAGTATCTAGTTACTATTGCGAAGAGGCTGAACATTTATATCATTGTATAGTGAGTCATGAATTGGTCAACAGATCTAACTTTTGAGCTCCGGGAATTCATGTAGAAATTTCATGTACGATAGGTTCACGAAAGTGGTTAAATGGAAATTAGTTTGAGTATATAATTGTGGTATCATTAGGATACGTTCTATCATTGAGTTTACTATATATTGACGATGATCAAGTGTTTCTTGGTATGATTTTTATGCATTTCCCAAATAATCATCTTGAAATTAATAGAAATATAGTTCTAATACTTCACTAGACTGACAGTGTCAACACTTACTCTGAATATGAACGTATAACTATATAGGAGGTCTTTATTGTTTTTTTTTCTACAATGGTAACTTTATTCTTCAAATAACGTAGTATGAAAGCGCTCACATCTGTTTCTTTGTTTTTACGTTTCCCATGATAATCTTCATGAAGATTACCGTTTGAGGCATTGAAAAGGAAAATGTTTGTGAATCGTTTTCCAAATATCTATGACGCCATTCATATCCCATTTGAATGTCACTTGGTGCGAAGAGCATCCACCATCAAGCTGTCTGTAGTATAGACCTGAATTCAATTCAGTACAACATACCTTGATCGTTAAAAGATGATGCATGGAAATAATAAACGTGCGCAGAATTGCATTAAGCATAGTCAAGTTGTTTTTCCAAATGAATCAAACCAACATGTACGAATCTCGTATTTCTCATTAAGCATCTACAAATATTCGCCCGAAAGTTGATTGTAAACGGCATTTTCCAACAACGTTTTTCACACTTCGTGATTGGAATCTGGTCGAAAATGAAGAAACATCACAACATACTATTACTGACAAGAACTTTATTACGAAAGATCGTAAATATTTGATCACGCCCTTCCGTGTGGCTTGTTTCTTCTTTGTTGGTTTTCTTCTATTTCTCTTTGGTGATGTTCTGTATTATGCTTATATTGCTTATGTGCTTTATTTTCTTTATTTGAATGATTATATCAAAACTATTCTTGTAATCCTTCTTCTTCATACTCTTTATTTTCTCATTCTTGTTACATATCATTTCATTGGTTTCTACATGAGTGTCAAAATATTTGATTACCTTATTCGTGAACATCCTTACATTTTTATTACTTTATGCCTTTTCTCTGTTATTAACGGTATAATCGATAAAATTAACTAAAAGAAAAACAGAGCGCAACCTTCCAAGTCAACATTCTCTTGGTCTGTCGGAAATTTGTCGTAATTTTTTCTTTTTCCAAGATAAATGTACACATAATTGTGATTTTTTTGCAAATAAAAACCTTGATCATTGTCGAAGAAGATTTTTCTTTGGGAAGAGAAGATCTGATTGTCTGCAACTATGGTGATTCAGACCGATCAAACTCAATCGTAATGAGCTGGTAAAATTTACAAAGAAAAAATACCGTTCTTTTCTCAGGTCGCTTTATCAGTTGTCTTTGTTCTGTTTTCACACATTGCGCTTATCTATGTCATTGTCTGTCTTATAGTCGAAACGGTTTACCATCGATTTTTACAAGGATAACGAGAACATGAAATTCGATGATTTTTTATTAACAATCAACGATTTTGGTCGTTTTCAAAAATTCAGTTTGTTCTTTATTGGTTTAACTTATTCGATCACGCCAAGTTTGTTTCTTTTCGGAGTGCCATTTTCGATTTCATTGTTTCATTTTGTTTTATTCAGTTGTAGTTTATACTTGGTCATTCACTGCTGCCACACCTTCATTTCGTTGTAAATCGAATGAAAACGACAATTTTTACTTACAAAACTATTCTCATTTAAATCAACCAGATGAATTATATTGTAAAACGAATACGAAAATTTCAGTGAGAGAATGTCAACGATGTTATATCAAACAGAATAATCAAACAAAAGCGTGTCACGATTTCGTATTTGATCAAAAATATTACAATTATACACTTGTTGAAGAAGTACTCATGATTGATTCCGAAAGATCATGTTTGTTTTTCATTTCTCTTTCTTAGTGGTCGATGGTTTGTGATCGAACGGTCTTTCGTACAACGGTACAAAACATCTTTTTCGTCGGTTATATGATTGGCTCAATATTCTTTGGAATTCTTGCTGATAAGTATACGCTCCATTTCGCATAATGAAATCTGAGAAAAAAACGAACATTTCTGCATGATTAAGATATGGTCGTCGACCAATAATTAGCATTTGTTTGATATTAACAGCATGTTCGGGATTTATTTGTACGTTTTTCCCTCAAAAAACGTTATTTGGATTTTGGCCAAGTTATTTGTCATATACATTCGGTCGATTTATCTTAGCTTGTGTAACTCGAGGCGTTGGAATTACTGATTTTGTATTAGGTAAATTTCACATTCACTTTGTTTGAAAAATGAAAAGTTTTTCGTGTAGTGACAGAACTTGTGGGCCCGAAGAAGAAGTTTCTTGTTGGAACAAGTCTTCATATGTGTTTTGCACTTGGTCAACTAGTTTTAAGTTTTTTTGCTTATTTTATTCGTGAATGGAGACGTTTAACATTAGCTTTATCGTTATTCACAGCTCCATTTGTATTTCTGCATTTGTAAGTGACGGTAAAATGAAAAATGATTTGATAAAATTCTTGTTTAGTGTTATACCTGAATCGCCAAGATGGTTACTCAGTAAAGGACGATATAAACAAGCGGAGATTCTCTTGAGAAAGATCGCGAAGACGAATAAAAAGTCGTTTGATGATGCAGCATGTCGCAGAATGTTTGCTGATCTTGAGAAATCGCACGATTCAAACGATCGAACTGGAGTTTTGTCATTATTTCGATCGAAAATCATGTTAATTATAAGTTTGAATTTATTTTTTCAATGGTTTGTTCAAAATTTGGCTTATTATGGAGTTTCTCAAAGTACTGGCTCATGGGGCTTTGATCCATACTGTAAAAATCCTTTCGTCATTTGAATCGACGTCATTTCATTTCCTTTTAGTGTCATTTACAATATCAGCTTGTGTAGAACTTCTTGCTTACATTGCAATTTATCTTATTTTAAATCGTATCGGTCGAAAAATGCCTTATTTAACAGCAGTATTTTGCTTTGTGATTGTTTCATTCTTGACTATTTTGATACACAACGATCACCGTCGAGGAATTCTGAGATTTTTAATGAATATTTCATCGAAATTTCTTGTTTCGGTTAGTTATGGAACGATTTATATTTACGCGAATGAATTATTTCCCACTCGAGTGCGAAGTACAGGAATGGGATTGTGTTCAATGGCTGCACGTACGAATCTTCTTCTCTCTTTGCAAGATCTATTTAACAATTCGTTTCGCAGGGGTTGGCGCAATTGTTGCCACAACGAGTAACGATATGTTAGTCTGTATCTCAAAGAATCTATTCGTATTTGATATGACTCAAATATTTGTAGGCACGCGTTTGGATTAATCTTCCAACTGTTTTATTTGGTGCATTGTCATTGATCGCAGCACTTGCTGTTCTGATGTTACCGGAAACGTTGAATAAACCATTGCCACAGACAATTCAAGATACAGAACAGATGGGTTTACTTTGGTTCGTATGTTAGTGTAAAAGAGATATCGGAACGATTTGTAATTTTAGTATTCGTGATTCCCAAACGGAACGAGCAAACGAATCTACAAATGAAGATAAGTTATTAAATGAAAGTTCGGTAAAAAGTTAATTGCTGTGTTGTCTTCAAAATAAAGACTTACTTGAGTTTTCGAGAGAAAAATACGCCAAATTTCATGAATGCTGTATTATGGAATGAAGCAGTATCAGCAAACGAGTAACCATTTCTCTAAACATGTTTTTAGTATCTAATTTTTCTGTGTAATGGTTCCAATAATGATGCATTCAACTTTTCTATCAATCGCGATACTTTCGGTTTGTCTCATAAGTCAATGCTGATAGAACATCAGTAGTAAATGCTCGGGATTGTTCGTGTTATTTCAAACGACATTGAGTGTTATGAAGATATTCAGATCGAAAATGTTTCAAGTATTGCTTAGTTAATTTGAAAGAAAATTCCTTCTAGAATAGCAATTAGAAAATTAGTGAAGACAAGAGTACGATGTTGACTTCTCATTTGATAAACAATGAAATCTGCGATCTTACGTGTTTCTTCTTTAACCTTTCTCTTGACTTTATCAAATGAAAAAATCGTATAAATATCACAAAAACAAAATATTCCAAGATGAAGTGTGCATTTCAGTGTTTTCCGCCACACGCTGGTCCTAAATCCCTTGTCAATTATTTGATCCAAAGAAAAACAAAGGATCATCGATGATAAAATCACTTTTTATTTTTCCAAAGTAACATTCATGATTTGATGAAAGATAAAAACGAGCAATAATATGTAAATGTGTTTACAATAATGAATGGTATTATTTAGTTTATTGAATAAGGTATTTCTTCATGATGTTCTGCTAATAAAACTCGACGGTGTTGAGAGCATTATTCGTACCAATATTCAATCCGCCTGCCACTAAAACTCTTCCATCGAGTAAAACTGATGCAGTATGATATGCTCGAGCAGTATTCATACGTGGTATCATTGTCCAAATGCCTGTTATTGGATTATACAATTCAGCACTGTCAACACAAGAACTTCCATTGTTCTGTCCACCAGCGACCAAAACGGTTCCATTTAGTAAGAATGATGCAGAATGTCTTGATCGTGCCGTGCTCATATTTGATATCATCGTCCAAGTGTCTGTTGATGGGTTATATAATTCAGCAGTGTTAAGAAAAGTGCTAATACTCTTTCCACCCACAACTAACACGTTTCCATTTGATAAGAGAGTTGCAGTGTGATTGCTTCGTGCTGTATTCATATTTGCTTTTGTTGTCAAAGTGCTGGTTGATGGATCATACAAGGTAGCACTACTGAGAATCTTAGTACTATATCCACCCACAATTAAGACTGTACCGTCTGGTAAAACCGTTGCCGTATGATTGAACAGATTTGTATAGAACCTCACGACTATCTTCCAAGTCCCCATCGATGGGTCGTATAATTCAGCATTGCCGAAAATACCAAGAAAACTATATCCGCCTACAACAAATATTTTCCCATTGGGTAAAAGCGATGCTGTATGATAGTCTCGGTCACTGTCCATATCTCCTGTTGTTTTCCAGATGCCTGTTGATGGATCATATAGTTCAGTACTGTACAATATACCCACACTACCATATCCACCAGTCACTAATACTTTCCCATTGGTTAGAAGTGTTGCAGTGTGACCAAATCGAGCGGAATTCATACTTCCGGTTATCGTCCAACTGTCAGTCGAAGGGTCATATAATTCAGCACCATCAAGAGGTACGCTACCATTGGATCCACCTGCAATTAAAACTGCACCATTGGATAAAAGTGTAACAGTGTGCTGATATCGTGCAGTGTTTAGAGTTGCAGTTGCTCTCCAAACTAAATAACACAACAAACATAGTGAAATCGACGAAACTGTAATTGGTTTTGAGATATTACATACCTGCAGGTGTTAGTGTTGTCATTGTCGATGATGATGATGTTGACGATGACGATGACGATGACGATGATGTACTCGTGGTTGATTCTTTAGATTTTATGAGAAAATGAAATGTATAAATCGAGTAGCGAAAAATGATAAATACTCGATTGTCGAGTAGTGGAAATTGTACAACTAACAAAATGGTAACTTCTCGCTATAGATATTTATTTATACGCGATGATTCAATTAGTTTTGAAAATGATTATCTATGAAATCCTTACCAGTTATTTGGTTATCAATGATTGATATGAGTGATTGATTGACGAATAATAGTGTTGAATTGAACTGAAACTTGACTTAAATTGTGTTTGTATTCGAATAGAAGATTTGACAACTTTGAGACGATGAGAAATAATTCAGAACACAAATTATTTTATTTAATTGTAACATTTGACAAGTACATTGATCTATCGTTACATTGATCAATGTTTTATTGATATCACCTATGAATATGTAGTTTTCGATTTTTCCAATTTTGAGACAATCAACCATTGATAATAACGAGACGAGAACAACTACTCGTAACATGTTTAACTCGTTTCTTCTGCTTACACAATAAAATGTGCACTGTTTGTCTATGCGCTTTATCACTTTTCATTTAGTGAAAAACTTTCAGATTAATATTTAATCATCATAAATGCGCGTTTTCTTCATGTACAAGAAAGTTTTTGGCTAATTAGAGAACAAAAGCTATGAAAGAGAAAACGAACTGAATGTCGATAAGTAAATAATTTCAGTGTTTATACTCTATTATTGGTTTTGTAGAAAGTGACAATGAGACGATAACAACATGAAGTTCAGATCCCCACTCCTTCGTAAGTTAAACAAAGTTTTTCATGAAAAGATGCGAATACTGTAAGTAACATATTATGCGCTGTTCTTTTCATTAGTGAAAAAGTTTATTTCTGTTCTTCCGCATTCTAACGCATCACGACATGTGCACATTTCATGTGAATAGACCTCCAAAATATGCAGACATGTACGATATAATAATTGAAGTTAGTTATCAAGAAATTGATTTTTCGTCGAGATACGATTGTGTCTGTGATGGCCAGAACATTTTCAAATGATTTGATGTATAATAAGGTACTAGACTTCATGGAATTGTTGTTAAAAAGTGAAGATAGGTAGAGATGAATCGAAATATATTTTATATATGGATCTGTTAAGAATAGATTATTGCTGCTATAAGAAGTAGTAACGTAGATTACATATTATATTCTATGTTTAAAGCAAAATTCTTATTGTAAATCTTTATTGATTAAAGGCCAAGAGACAATTCTCCAAACTATATTTAAGTTCTCAAACGACTTGTTTTGTCTGCTTATTTGGTAATTGCGTTGAGTATGTTCGACTCCATTAAAGTTTTATGATTTCCACAGTCAAATCATACAGTGAAACATGTTTAAAAATGGCACAAGAAGTATGAAATGTAATTGTTTATGGCTAATAATCTCTAGTATTGCAGAATACTTGATGTAGTCACAATAGTGTATATGATGACATGTTTGTGTAATACATTTGAAATATTGTTGATGTTCGTATCAATGTCATAGTAGTTTTGTCTGATTGTGTCTTTTCAAATATTCAAAGAAAATTGCAATGATGTTTTTCTTCTCCTCTGCTTGTCAATATGTGGAATTACAGTAGACGGATGAACTTTGTGGTTCTTTTTTTGGGTGGAAAGTGCACCGTGTAATTGTGTGGGTGATATTATGATTGTTTTCTGTATGAATATTTGTCGAAAAATATGTTTATATGTTGAAAATCAAATTAAATTGTCAGAATTTGAACGGTACTTTTTTGTGTCGAGTATGATCAATGTTTGACGTCGATGAATACTGCGAAGGAAGAAATTCATTGCCAATAGGAAAAAATATGCATTTTATCGGTCATACAAACTGAGCAAAGTCGTTCAATAATACTACCAACAACGATAATAAAATCAGTTATAGATGAACAGCGAATATTGCAGATCCTAATTTACAGTCATTGATCAAACGAGAAAAAATGAGGCAATGTGTTTGAATGAATATCGGTCAATACGAAAGGAATTGAGTTGTGAAAATCTTTTCTTACAGTGTGTTTTTATGTTAGACGAATCACTTCGTTTTCATAGCGTTTCAACGAGCTATGTAATAGGATGAATTTGAGTTGCAATTGAAGAACAAACTGCTTATCATTGAGAGTAGGATCTAGACATCTTTTGTATAGATTTTCCTCGGAAGTTATTGGAACAACTGCTTCTTATATCATCGGTTTGAGGATAGAGAAAAGACACTCATGTCGGGTTGTTGAGAAACTCAAACACGGTAGATGTATAGATTAATCAACGTTATTGTTATCGAAAGAATGATCAAATCAGTTTTATCGAAATAATTCGATACAATCAAGAAGGAATTTTCATTAAAGAATGCTTGAAAATTTAAAAGAATTTCTCAATCAACAAGAGGAATGCCACATAGATGAGAGGAAATTTCGAGCTCGAGCTGATTTGGCCTTGTGAACTCGTAGTCATTTGATCAGTTGACAAGATCGACGTGGTTTTGACTGTTGTACTGGTCGTCGAAGATACATCTGGTAAATATTCTCGATTAAATTTCTCTTTTAACATTATTTCCAAAGAAGAAACATTATAATAATCTTTCACTATTTGCTTAATTTGCTCATCATTCGTTTTGCTATTACATAAATTACCAGAACAAATATAAGCAAGATGATCAAATGATTGAGTAAAAGTTAAATCTTGCTGTTCAGTTTTCCGGAGAGTCATTTTCATTCCGATTCCGAGAACCATTGTACGTGTATAGGTTTCAAAACACCCACGCTCTGCTTGGTTATATTGAATAGCAAATGAGCAAACACGACTTGAACATTGTCGACTATTCCCATTTTCATCGATATAACACACACCTAAGGAGATTTTTATCTTTACTTACACAACTAAAATATTTTATTACCTGTTTGACTGTTCTGTGGAAGAAGCAACGGTCGTACTGCAGCTGCAGCACCTTCGAATCTTGTACTAAATAGCCATTCAAGATAATCAAATATAAATAGTCGATTGCATTGATCTTCCTTATCACATAGAAATCCGATCATATTGTTGAATAATGTCTCATTTTCATTCCGCAACAGATTGATAATAGTCATAACGGCAACATCAACATTGACCGTAAAAGTGAATAAATCTACTTCGTCGAAAATAAGAACCAAAGTTTGCGAATCAGAAAATAAGGCAACGTGTGCGTAACAACTTGTTTTATTCTTAATAGTGACCGATTGGTTTATTTGTTCTTTGACTTTAGGGAGATCTAATGTGTTCACTGATGGAATGGTAAGAATACCGTAGTAATGCATGCATTGCAATGGATTATTACCGGGAAACTGAATTGTTAAAAAGAAAAATAAGATGAAGAGTTGCATTTATCTTCGAATGTGAGAGAGCACCATAAATGAAACGGTTTATAAACGGTAAATATATTGAAGATAACGTAAATATATTGAAGATAACGTAAATATTGAAGATAACGTAATTCTCGCTTTCTTTTTTCTCTTCCTAAACATTAGTGAGATAAATACTGATTTCGGTGAAAGAATGAGAGATGATCGTAGAATAATAAAGGTAATCTTATCCCGATGAAGAATTTGCTCACGCACTGTTTCATTGACATGAATAGAATTTATACATTCTTTAATGGTTTATAGTCACACACACAACTAAACTAAAAATATTAGAATTAATTGAGCGTCTAGATCAAAGAAAAGTACTCGTAGTTCAAGTCTTTCTTCTCACAATATTAAGCAGGTCCGATTGTATTTTTTCGATGCCAATAGATGATTTCCTTTTTCACTCGTTGACGAAATCGATTCGATGTTAATAAGAACGTATAACAACTTCCCTACAAAAAACAAATTAAGTTACAAATTGGATCGTCAAATGCAAAGCTTATTCAGCTTACCACATAGTATAGATATGTACCCAAAGTCGTAATTGTACTAACAAGATATTCTATCATCTGCTGATTCAGATTTTTCACTGTTCCAGCTGTAACTAAACTATACGCATTATTAATTCCATACGGTATTAAACTAACAGCAACAAGTGCAACATGAATCAATGTCATGCGTATCAATTGACGATCGTAGTGTAACTCGGCAGGACGTATCGTTTGGCGAATGTTGCGATACGTTAAAATTCCAAACAAAGTCATGATGCCAACGGGTATTCCACAAATGATCGCAAGTAGATACACTGCCGAATAGACAAGATAGCTTGGGTTGTCACTTGTGCAAACCTTCGTACTGGGTACAATTCGAACTACGAAGAATATATGAATACAATAAACACACCAGAAAATGATCACCAGAATTGATATACGATGTGCCCATTTAATTTGACNTCATGATGCCAACGGGTATTCCACAAATGATCGCAAGTAGATACACTGCCGAATAGACAAGATAGCTTGGGTTGTCACTTGTGCAAACCTTCGTACTGGGTACAATTCGAACTACGAAGAATATATGAATACAATAAACACACCAGAAAATGATCACCAGAATTGATATACGATGTGCCCATTTAATTTGACTGCAATTTCGAAGGAAGGCACTTTTTGATGTGACGAAAAATTGATCGATGGTAGCCAGACATGAAAAGGTGATGGAAATAAGACTGGGAGCAGTTAGAAGAAAGTTTCGTATTTTACACCATATATCGGAAGATCCAATAACATCAATTTGAAAAGAAACAATCAAAATTCGAATGGGAAGATTAAGACAAATGTAGAAGAGATTGTCAATTGAACCCATGAGAAAATAGAATGTACAGGGATTGATTCGATAAATTCGCACTTTAGTAAAGACTAGAATATTAATTCCATTACCAATTATACCGAAAACGAGTAGAAAGAGACCAGCATAGAGAGATAGTTGTTGAGCATCTTGAAACAGCGTCATGAAAAATGCCTGTACTGTGAACTGAATTCACGAATTTCTGAAGGGGAACGTAAAAGACTATAAACCAAGAAAAAAACTGATGTTCTTGAAAGTTCTCTGTTATTCTCAGTTTATAGTAACATGCGAGAATAGAAAGGAAATATAAAAGATAAAATGGAATATAAAGCGACACGTCTCGCTCGGTCTAATGACTGAACTTAGCACAGATACACGCAAATTTTATTAATAACTCATGTCATTGTAATTAAGATGGTTTGATGTCATGAGCGAAATCCTAAAAGCTACACTCGAGTTTTTACACATATCATTTTGTCGGCAAAGACAATTATCAGAGAATATTCAATAGACCTGTGAGAAAGCTTTTCGAAAGATCGGTATATGCAAAGACGACGTTGTTTGTTATAATTATAAGTATTAATCAAAGTGAAAGATGGCTTGAAATGTATGATGCGAGATAAATTGATAATTATATGAAAAAAAAAACGAAATAGTAAACGTGTTAATTATCCTGCTTGGATCATTATAGATGTGGGGCATATGATATAAATTAGCAGATATATTTCTGAATGCCTTTCTACTGTAGTTTTAAGAAATTTTTCTTATGGAAACATCCATCGTCTACCTTTGCATTGGAAATATCAGTGAGGCTCAGTATTTCGATGAACGCATTGTGCAGATACGAAAGTTTTTTCGCTAAAAAATCTTTTTCATTTTTATTCAAAATATCGATTAGAATGTCGTCATTGACATGGTTTAACTATAAAAACATCATATGAATGATGAGGATACATTTCTTATCAATATTTATGAATATCCGAAAACCTTTTTGGCTTCGCTCTTTTTATGTAATTCATTTTTGCACAGACGATTTTCTATGTAGAACAATGTTGAGCAATTACAACCCATGTAAGCACCAGACGCAGGATAAACGCGTTCAGACGCATATGACTTTGAAAGTCGCACTTAGACGCGGTTTAAAGTCAATTTTATCGCGCCCAAATGCGTATTATTATAGAAGTGCGTCTGGACGCAAAATGAAATAATTTTCCGTTGCATGTTGACGCAATTTTGTGTATAATCGCGTTCAGACACAGTATAAATCATTTGAGATGCATTTCAATGCGTTTACTTTTATTAGCTTAGGCTAACTTCGGTTCCAAAACCACTGATTCTCTGTCTTTTAAAATATCAAAACAGTTTTCTTTATGTAAAGACTTTCAGTTACAAAATATTCTATCAGAACTTGAGTAGTTAGATGGAAATCATCCTTGTTAAGTATTGAAAAGATATTCTCAATGATCAGTTTATATCTGTTCTTGAGGCAAAACGTCGGAAACCAGTTGAAATTCATCGGCTATAAATAGCTACCTTATCCGAATCTCGTCCAGTATTTGTTATTGTAAATGAAATCTCAGATACAAATAGAGAAGGAGTAAAATACCAATTTGTTTGAAATTGTATGAGATTATTGAAGAAACGTACGACAATGAGTTGTGTTTGCTTCGAAACGACATAAAACAAATATCGTTGTCTTGATTTGTGTAAGTTCAAACGCGTGTAGTCAGATACATATCGTTTTCTATACTGATATGTTTCGAGCAAGTATAGCTTAGTGGTGTATGTTCAAGACTACTGATCGATGGTTCATCTGTTCAAATCTGTATCTCGGCAGGTCAGAGAAAAATTCAGTTCATGTTTGAGGATAGCCTAAGACCATTAGAAGATGATTATGATGGCGACTCAGTTCGAATCTGAGATGAACTGAAAGATTTTTTGCCTAATTTTGAAATTTAATGTAAACGCATCCAGACGCAGTTAGTTTTGAGCTGCGTCTAGACNTTATTTGATTTTGTTTTATTCAGTTGTAGTTTATACTTGGTCATTCACTGCTGCCACACCTTCATTTCGTTGTAAATTAAATGAAAACGACAATCTTTATTCACAAAACCATTATCATTTAAATCAACCAGATGAATTATATTGTAAAACGAATACGAAAATTTCAGTGAGAGAATGTCAACGATGTTATATCAAACAGAATAATCAAACAAAAGCGTGTTACGATTTTGTATTTGATAAAAAATATTACAATTATACACTTGTTGAAGAAGTACTCACGATTGATTCCGTAAAATTATGTTTGTTTTTCATTTCTCTTTCCTATAGTGGTCGATGGTTTGTGATCGAACGGTTTTTCGTTCAACGGTACAAAACATTTTTTTCGTCGGTTATATGATTGGCTCGATATTCTTTGGAATTCTTGCTGATAAGTATAAACTCCATTTCGCATAACGGAAGTTGAGAAAAAAACGAACATTTCTGCATGATTAAGATACGGTCGTCGACCAATAATCAGCATTTGTTTGGTATTGACAGCATGTTCGGGATTTATTTGTACGTTTTTTCCTCAAAAAAAGTTATTTGGATTTTGGCCAAGTTATTTATCATATACATTCGGTCGATTTATCTTAGCTTGTGTAACTCGAGGCGTTGGAATTACTGATTTTGTATTAGGTAAATTTGACATTTACTTTATTTGAAAATGAAAAAGTTTTCGTGTAGTCACTGAACTTGTGGGTCCGAAAAAGAAATTTCTTGTTGGAACAAGTCTTCATATATGTTTTGCACTTGGTCAACTAGTTTTAAGTTTTTTTGCTTATTTTATTCGTGAATGGAGACATTTAACATTAGCTTTATCGTTATTTACAGCTCCATTTGTATTTCTACATTTGTAAGTAACGGTAAAATGAAAAATGATTTGATGAAATTCTTGTTTAGTGTTATACCTGAATCGCCGAGATGGTTACTCAGTAAAGGACGATATAGACAAGCGGAAATTCTCTTGAGAAAGATCGCGAAAACGAATAAAAAGTCGTTTGATGACGCAGCATGTCGGAGAATGTTTGCTGATCTTGAGAAATCGCACGATTCGAACGATCGATTTGGAATTTTGTCATTATTTCGATCGAAAATCATGTTAATTATAAGTTTCAATTTATTTTTTCAATGGTTTGTTCAAAATTTAGCTTATTATGGAGTTTCTCAAAGTACTGGCTCATGGGGTTTCGATCCATACTGTAAAATTCTTTTCACACATTGAATCGACTTCATTTCATTTCCTTTTAGTATCATTTACAACATCAGCTTGTGTAGAACTTCTTGCTTACATTACAATTTATCTTACTTTAAATCGTATCGGTCGAAAAATTCCTTATTTAACAGCAGTATTTTGCTTTGTGATTGTTTCATTCTTGACTATTTTGATATACAACGATCAGCGTGGAGGAATTCTGAGATTTGTAATGAATATTTCATCGAAATTTCTTGTTTCGATTAGTTATGGAACGATTTATATTTACTCGAATGAATTATTTCCCACTCGAGTGCGAAGTACAGGAATGGGATTGTGTTCAATGTCTGCACGTACGAATCTTCTTCTTTCTTTGCAAAATCTATTTAACAATTCGTTTCGTAGGAGTTGGTGCAATTGTTGCTACAACGAGCAATGATATGTTAGTCTGTATCTCAAGAATTTCTTCGTATTTGATATGACTCAAATGTTTGTAGGCACGCGTTTGGATCAATCTTCCAACTGTTTTATTCGGTACATTGTCATTGATCGCAGCACTTACTGTTCTCATGTTACCGGAAACGTTGAATAAACCATTGCCACAGACGATTCAAGATACAGAACAGATGGGTTTACTTTGGTTCGTATGTCAGTGTAAAAGAGATATTGAAACGATTTGTAATTTTAGTATTCGTGGTTCCCAAACGGAACGAGCAAACGAATCTACAAATGAAGATAAGTTATTAAATGAAAGTTCGATAAAAAGTTAATTGTTGTGTTATTTTCAAAATAAAGATTTACTCGAGTTTTCGAGAGAAAAATACGACAAATTTCATGAATGCTGTATCATGGAATGGAGCAGTATCAGCAAACAAGTAAGCATTTCTCTAAACATGTTTTTAGTATCTAATTTTTCTGGATAATGTGGTTCCAATAATGATGTATTCAACTTTCCTATCAATCGCGATACTTTCGGTATGTCTCATAAGTCAATGCTGATAGAACATCAGTAGTAAATAATGCTCAGGATTGTTCGTGTTATTTCAAATGATGTTGAATGTTACGAAGATATTCAGATCGAAAATGTTTCAAGTATTGCTTAGTTAATTTGAAAGAAAATTCCTTCTAGAATAGCCATTAGAAAATTAGTAAAGACAACGAGTATGATGTTGACTTCTCATTTGATAAATAATGAAACTTTCGATCTTATGTGTTTTTTCTTTAACCGTTCTCTTGACTTTGTCAAGTGAAAAAATCGTTTAAATATCACAAAAACAAAATATTCCAAAAATGAAGTGTGCACCTCTGTGTTTTCCGCCACACGCTGGTCCTCAATCCCCTGTCAATTATTTGATCCAAAGAAAAAAAAAGATCATCGATGGTAAAATCACTTTTTATTTTCCCAAAATAACATTCACGATTTGGCGAAAGATAAAAACGAGCAATAATATGTAATGTGTTTGCAATAACAAATGGTATTATTTAGTTTATTGAATAAGGTATTTCTTCATGATGTTCTGCTAATAAAACTCGGCGGTCTTGAGAGCATTAATCGTACCACTATTCGATCCGCCTGCCACTAAAACTGTTCCATCTAATAAAACTGATGCAGTATGATGTGCTCGAGCAGCATTCATGCGTGGTATCATTGTCCAAATGTCTGTTGTTGGATTATATAATTCAGCACTGTTAACACAAGAACTTCCATTGTTCTGTCCACCAGCGACCAAAACGGTTCCATCTAGTAAGAATGATGCAGAATGTCTTGATCGTGCTGTGCTCATATTTGATATTATCACCCAAGTGTCTGTTGATGGGTTATATAATTCAGCAGTGTTAAGAAAAGTGCTACTATTCTTTCCACCCACAACTAACACGTTTCCATTTGATAAGAGTGTTGCAGTGTGATTGCTGCGTGCTGTATTCATATTTGCTTTTGTTGTCCAAGTGTCTTTTGATGGGTTATACAAGTCAGCACTATTGAGAATCTTATCACCATATCCACCCACAATTAAGACTGTGCCACTTGGTAAAACCGTTGCTGTATGATTGAATCGATTTGTATTCATGCTTGCAGCTACCTTCCAAGCGCCCGTCGATGAGTCGTATAGTTCAGCACTGCTGAGAAAACCAAGAAAATCGTATCCGCCTGCAACAAATACTTTCCCATTGGGTAAAAGCGATGCTGTATGATAGCCTCGGGCAGTGCCCATATTTGCTGTTGTTTTCCAGATACCTGTTGATGGATCATATAGTTCAGCACTGTACATTATACCTGCACTATTATATCCACCAGTCACTAATACTTGCCCATTGGTTAGAAGCGTTGCAGTGTGACCAAATCGAGCAGAATTCATTTTTCCGGTTATCGTCCAACTGTCTGTCGAAGAGTCATATAATTCAGCATCATTAAGAGGTACGCTACCATCGGATCCACCTGCAATTAAAACTGCTCCATTGGCTAAAAGTGTGGCAGTGTGTCGATTTCGTGCAGTGTTTAGAGTTGCGGTTGCTCTCCATACTAAATAACACAACAAACACAGTGAAATCGCACTCTGATGACTTGTAAATCAATTATAAGAGCAAATAAAGTCAGTTTTTATGCCGTATGAATAAATCGACGAAACTGTGATCGGTTTTGAGATATTACATACCTTCAGATGTTGATGTTGATGTTGTCGATGATGATGACGATGTAGAGGTGGATGATGATGAAGATGATGTACTCGTAGTTGATCCTTTAGATTTCGTGAGAAAATGAAATGTAAAAATCGGGTAACGAAAAATGATAAATACTCGACTGTTGAGTAGTGGAAACTATACAGTAACAAAATGGTAACTTCTCGTTATAAACATTTATTTATACGCGATGATTCAATTAGTTTTGTAAATGATTATCTATGAAATCCTTACCAGTTATTTGGTTATCAATGACTGATATGAATGATTGATTGACAAATAATAGTGTTGAATTGAACTGAAATTCGACTTGAATTGTATCAGTATCCGAATAGAAGATTTGACAACTTTGAGACGATGAGAAATAATTCAGAGCACAAATTATTTTATTTAATTGTAACATTTGACATGTACATTGATCTATCGTTACATTAATCAATGTTTCATTGATATCACCTATGAATATGTAATTTTCCATTTTTCCAATTTTGAGACAATCAACCATTGCTAATAACGAGACAAGAACAACTATTCCTAACATGTTTAACTCGTTTATTCTGCTTACACAATAAAATGTGCGATGTTTGTCTATGCGCTTTATTACTTTTCATTTTGTGAAAAACTTTCCGATGAAAATTTAATCATCATAAATACGCATTTTCTTCATATACAAGAAAGTTTTTTGCTAATTAGAGAACAAAAGTTATGAAAGAGAAAGAAAACAAATGTTAATAAGTAAATAATTTCAGTGTTTAAACTCTATCATTGGTTTTTGTAGAAATTCACATTTCATCACAATGAAACAACGACATAAAGTTCAGATCTCCACTCCTTCATAAATTAAACATAGTTTTTCATAAAAAAGATGCAATTACCGTAAGTAACATATTAAGCGTTCTTCTTTTCATTAGTGAAAAAGTTTATTTTAATAATATAATTCAAATAAATTGCATTTTTTATTTCTATTTTTCTGCACTCAGACATATCACAATATGTGTACATTTCATCTAAATAGACCTCCAAAATATGGAGACATGTACAATATAACAAATGAAGTTAGTTATCAAGAAATTGATTTCTCGTGGAGATACGATTGTGACTGTGATGAGTTTATCAATCATCAATGGACCAGAGCTTTGTCAAATGATTTCATGTATAATAAGATACTATGACTTCATGGATTTGTTGTGGAAAAAGTGAAGATAGATAGAGATGAATCGAAGTATATTTTATATATGAACATATTAAGAATAGAGGAAAATATTTTTTTGAAAGAATGGATTATTGCTGTTAAAAGGAGTAGTAACGTGGATTACCTATTATATTCTATGTTTAAAGCAAAATTCTTATTGTAAATCTTTATTAATTAAAGGTTAAGAGACAATTATCCAAACTATATTTAATAGTTCTCAAAAGACTCGCTTTGTCTGTCTATTTGGTAATTGCGTTGAGTATGTTCGACTTCATTAAAGTGTTACGATTTTCACAGTTAAATCATACAGTGAAACATGTTCAAAAATGGCACAAGAAGCATGAAATGTAATTATTTATGGTTAATAATCTCTAGTATTGCAGAATGTTTGATGTAGTAACCATAGCGTATGATGACATATTTTGTATAATACATTTGAAATATTGTTGATGTTCGTATCCATGTCATATAGTAGTTTTCTCTGATTCTGTCTTTTCAAATATTCAAAGAAAATTGTAATGATGTTTTTCTTCTCTGCTTGTCAATATGTAGAATTACAGTATAGACGGATGAACGTTGTGGTTCTCTTTTTTGGGTGGAAAGTGCACCGTATAATTGTGTAGGTGATATTATGATTGTTTTCTGTATGAATATTTGTTGAAAAATATGTTTATATGTTGAAAATCAAATTAAATTGTCAGAATTTGAACAGTACTGTTTTGTGTCGATTGTGATCAATGTTTGACGTCGATGAATACTGCGAAAGAAGAAATTCATTGCCAATAGGAAAAAATATGCATTTTATCGGTCATACAAACTGAGCAAAGTCGTTCAATAATACTACCAACAACGATAATAAAGTCATTTATAGATGAACAGTGAATATTGAAGATCCTAATTTACAGTCATTGATCAAACGGGGAAAAAATGAGGCAATGTTTGAATGAATATCGGTCAATGCGAAAGGAATTTAGTCGTGAAAATCTTTTCTTACAGTATGTTTCTATTTTAGACGAATCACTTCGTTTTCATAGCATTTCAAAGAGCTATGTAATAGGATGAATTTGAGTTGCAATTGAAGAACAAACTGCTTATCATTGAGAGTAGGATCTAGACATCTTTTTGTATAGATTTTCCTCGGAAATTATTGGAACAACTGCTTCTTATATCATCAGTTTGAGGATAGAGAAAAGACACTCATGTCGGTTTGTTTTGTTGAGAAACTCAAACACGGTAGATTTATAGATTAATCAATGTTATTGTTATCGAAAGAATGATCAAATCAGTTTTATTGAAATAATTCGATACAATCAAGAAGAAATTTTCATTAAAGAATCTTGTAAATTTAAAAGAATTTTTCAATCAAGAAGAGAAATCCCACATAGATGAGAGGAAATTTCGAACTCGAGTTGATTTGGCCTTGTGACTTCGTAGTCATTTGATCAGTTGACAACATCGACGTGGTTTTGACTGTTATACTGGTCGTCGAGGACACATCTGGTAAATATTCTCGATTAAATTTCTCTTTTAACATTATTTCCAAAGAAGAAACATTGTAATAATCTTTCACTATTTGCTTAACTTGCTCGTCATTCGTTTTGCTATTACATAAATTACCAAAACAAATATAAGCAAGAAGATCAAATGATTGAGTAAAAGTTAAATCTTGCTGTTCAGTTTTCCGGAGAGTCATTTTCATTCCGATTCCGAGAGTCATTATACTTGTATAGGTTTGATAACACCCACGCTCTGTTTCGTTATTTTGAATAGCAAATGAGCAAACACGACTTGAGCATTGTCGACTATTCCCTTTTTCATCAATATAACACACGCCTAAGGAGATTTTTATCTTTACTTATACAACTAAAATATTTTATTACCTGTTTGACTGTTCTGCGGAAGAAGCAACGGTCGTGCTGCAGCTGCAACACTTTCGAATCTTGCACTGAATAACCATTCAAGATAATCAAATATGAATAGTCGATTGCATTGATCTTCCTTATCACATAGAAATGCGATCATATTGTTGAATAATGTCTCATTTTCATTCCGCAACAGATTGATAGTAGTCATAACGGCAACATCAACATTGGTCGTAAAACTGAATAAATGTACTTCGTCGAAAATAAGAACCAAAGTTTGCGAATCAGAAAATAAGGCAACGTGTGCGTAACAACTTGTTTTATTCTTAATAGTGACCGATTGGTTTATTTGTTCTTTGATTTTAGGGAGATCTAATGTGTTCACTGATGGAATGGTAAGAACACCATAGTGATACATGCATTGCAGTGGATTATTACCGGGAAATTGAATTGTTAAAAGGAAAAATAAGATGAAGAGTTGCATTTTCCTTTGAATGTGAGAGAGCACTATAAATGAAACGATATATAAACGATAAATATATTGAAGATAACGTAATTCTCTTTTTTCAAAAATACACTTTAGCGATAAGATGCGTCTGCTCTTTTCTTTTCTTTCCTAATCTTATACAAATAAAAAAGAAGATTCTCATTCATTGTCTTTTCATTGTCTTACACCAATATAAGTGCTCAATAGCAAACCAGGTCGAAACTACCTCAGCGGATCCTGTCGGATCCCGAGATTTCCGACATTCGGAACCTGTGGATCCGACATAATCCGACTGTCGCAAAGTTTCGGAACCATTAGGGTTTTATAGATACTATGTAATATATTCCAGTGTATCCTTACTCATGATAGGTTTTTAATGATCTTTAGACAATATTCGACTCATAATAACTGACATTTATCAGTATGTTTGCAAGTAGATTCCTATTATTTACAAAGATTAACTGTATGCTTCAGAGTGTCATTTATTAACAGTTTTTCTAGATGGTCAGCAAGTCATATGACGATCTGTATGAAAAATATTCATTTCGTCGATAGTATACAGTCATTTTTATTTCCGTTTTGCGGGAATTAGATTTGTTTACAATACTTATCAGCAATTTCAGTTTATTGTTTTTATTTCAGGATTGAATATTTTATTAGAAATTTTTTTATGTATTAGCAATATTTTTAATTTGTTTATTGAAAAATATCGTTAGGTAAAAATTGTTTTTCATCTATTTCTCTTTTTTGTAAGTCTTTTCGTTGTGTTTTATATAAATAATTTCAATAAATGAATATATTCAAATATAAAATATCGCGAAAGTCAATGAAAATTGTAGGTATGAAAACCTACACAACCCGCCAGATCCTGTCGGCTCCGGGGTTTTCCGACGAGATCCGCATCCCGGATTACTGGTCTAGGGAACACTTGAGGACAAATGTCTCAATCAGATCAGCCGACCCTTCATCATTTGGAGCAGCAGCAGGCGCCGGTGCGCGAAAATGCTCCAGTTTATACATTGTTAACAGATGTACCAACGATCGTTAATAACAACACAAATCAAGAACAGCCAATTGTATACTATAATCCACTAATCACTGCTCAAACAACAGATAGAGCACAGACATACATATATGTGCAACATCCGTACCAAAATAATATAGCCAACCAGATTATTACAGCTAATGCGCCCACACCGTATTATCATCAACAGCACACAGGATCGTCGAACAACGTGATCAACACCATGCATCAGTACGAAATGCCACATTCTATCATGAGTCAAGAACGTATGCAACATCCTGGATATTCAACGGTCAACAATGTAATTGCTCAACCAATATTTTCAATGATTAAACCTACTGAATCATCAACTCCCATTCTGTCGCAGAACAAAAGGGGACGTAATGATACAAGTGGACTATCTGAAACAAACACTCACCCAACACATCAATATCCACAAACTCTTCGCTATGCTAATCTTAACAATGCACCGAAGAGTAAAAGGAAGCAGTCGTAAAGGGAATGACGAAGTACACGTGCAACAACAATATAGTTCTAACCAGCTAGTAAGAAATAATCAAATCCTAACAAATGGTCCTGAAAACGATAATGAGCAATAACTAACAGTTGCTGCCTGTCGCTAAGCTACCACCCGGTACCCTCTCTCTCCCTTCTCATTAATATTTACTGATGAAAGTGCGAGTGAAAATGGTAGTAGGTGGATTAATAAAGTACTCCACCAAGAAACGAAACTTCGAATTGAAAACGATTGCGTATCGAAAATGGAGGGCAGAAAACAACGAACATTGTATCTTAATATTTGTTGAAAATGCTGAATCGTTCTCGTTTCTATACGAACAAAGTAACTGGCCTACAACACTAGCAAACTGTCAATATACAATAAGAAAACCATCGATTCCACCACAACTTGCACTAGTACTATCATCGGTCTCACTACAGACTGATTGGGGGGACTTTGTCCAAGAGCTGAAAGATAAGCATTCCGATATAATCAATGTTATCCGTCTACGGAATAAAGCACAACAACCAGTGCGTGCTGTGAAACTGGAATTTAGCTCATTAAGAGCTCGTAATGATCTCCTAGCAACAGGTGAAGTATTAAATTTGCATATGAAATACAAAGTGGTGGAATGCTTCACTCAAGAAAATGTCCTTATTTGCTCCAACTGCTACGGAATTGGACATTTTAGAAAAAATTGCTCACAAAAGAATGAATCAACCTGTAAAACATGTGGTGAAAAATGTGCTAATCTAAAAGATCACCAATGCTCAGGTATACTGAAATGCATACACTGTGGCGGTGCACATGTTTCGAGCGATAATCAATGTAAAGTAGTAAGGAATTATCGAGCAGCTCTAACGAAAAACCTACTGGCGAATTCACTACCAAATGTGGATAGAACAAGCAGTCAACATCCAACAACGGGGAATAAACCGATATATCGTGCAACAAATGGAGGACCATCTTATGTGTCGCTAGTTCGGGAAACATAAGTGGATCAAAATATCTTGTTATCGAAAAAACTCGATCCAATTCTAACTAGGATGGAAGAAGTTGCGGTTCGGACTCGTCAGTCGTTAGCAGAACTGAAACAAGAAATAACAACAAGATACTCCGAAACGAAACAACAAACGGACCAGTTAGAAAATAACTTAATGAACATGGAGCAAAAGTTTGCAGATTTCTCAATGAAAACCATCACTATGTTACAGAACGTATGTACAACACTTCTAGATCCACAAGGTTCACAAAGTAACAAATGGAAAGCCCACTGGCAGGAACAAGTAAAAACATTGTTTGAGTACAGAGCAGCTATTTCTGCTAGTACATGATGATCTGTAGCCCTCAAAACAATCGCAAACTGAATCACAAGGCAAAGTGCTTCTTGACATGGCTTGTAAATCGCTTACGCAAGGTGAATCTTATCTTCTTGCTGAAATTCTTATCGAATGGCATGCTTTTGTTTTTATATCTGATTTGCCACAAAAGTGGAAAGTATTTCAAAAACGTCTGCACAAAAATCATACACACATCTACATATTTTATGTTTCAATGTTCGAGGTCTAAGCCTGAGATGGACTTAGAATGTCGCTCGCTTGCCCCCGTGTCTCCCTCCGGAAAGTCGAGCCTATATATATTGAACCACCAAGGAAAAAAACAACACACAACAAGATATAGGATAAATCCCATCTATACATATATCAACCGTCATATAGAAAGGACGACAAGAAAGAACGAATGAAAGCAGAGAATGAAAGAAAAGGACATGGAAATATCTAGATAACATATATCCTAACATGGGGTGAAGTAGTTCTGCTGGCAAGAACTTATTGTGCTGATGTTATCTGTCTAGGTGAAGTAGGCCAGGTTGATTTCAAACTGTTAGGTGCAACGTATACTGATTTTAATTATTTCTGCCAACCTGGTGAAAATGCGCATAGTGGAGTATTGTTCCCGGTTAGGTAGGGCATACATGCTACAAGAACAAATTGTACACTACCGAACGTCTGTATAATCGATCTAGCATTATAAAAAACAGCCAGACTCATAGCGCTATATGCACCGGATAGTAAGACATGGAAGTGGAATGACCTATCTGCATCTACCACCAACCGCTGTATGATTATGGGAGACTTCAACATTGATCTTGAACAAGATGGAGATAAAGCCAAAGAAATTTTCGAATGGATGGATAATTGCTCGCTGGGTCCAGTAATACCTAATACAAACACCTCTCTTAGATTGGACCGCATGATCGACTATGCAATAGCAGCTGAAATAGATTTAACAGTTCAAACATATGAAGGCTTTACAACGAGTGATCATAAACCCCTATTGCTGGTGTGTACAGGTGATGTGGTGGAGAATGTGGAAGGATCTCGCACAAGGTGGAAGGTCTTCTCATCTATGCTATCGTACACTACCGACTACTGGGAAAATAGATGGGAGCAGGAACTTACAAACGATACCTACGAAAGTTTCGTCTCATTTCTATCTCCCCTGGTACACAGATGCAAACACTACTTTCCGCGCAACCATACTAGGTCATCAATTCCACCCGATTTAGTTAGTCTATTAGCAACAAGTCGATCTCTGTCGTTCAAGGCAAAACAGAAAGGTGACGTACGATTACGAGAAGAAGCCCATCGCATTCGCAATATAGCACGACACCAACTGAAGGAGCATCTTGAACGAAGAAACTTAGCAACGGAAATCTCTATGGTATTTTGGAGTAAAACAAAACGGCACTTTAGAACGGTGTCGTCCTCATTAAAAGGTTTCATCTCTCCAAGTGGAGATGTAATCAAAGAGCCCCAAAGGATGGCTGATATAGCTGCAGATTACTACAAAGATATTTTAAGGAACCAATCGTAATTCGGTCTCATCTCTATCTCGACGCTCCACTAACGCAGGTAGAAAATGATATTGAGAAAATACCAGTCGTTACCTATCCAGAAATCTTCAGAATTCTACGCACCAGGAAAAAGAAACGATCACTATATGCACATGGCCTGTCTTCATATATTCTCGACAAAATTCCGCAAAACTATTGGTATCTCTTTGCTCGCGTGTACAACGACTCGTTCTCCAAAGGATATATATGACGGAAATTCAAGGAAGCCAGGATGTTACTACTGACTAAGAAAAATGCACTTTGTACTCTAGATCAAACAAGACCAATATCTCTACTCGACTCTTTTCTCGAAGTCTATGAAAGATTATTTCTCAATCGATTCTTAACTGTACTAAATGATAAAGGCATACTTCCTGATAATCAATCTGGATTTCGTGCAAACTACCGTTTCCAAACACGATTACTACTTTTGATTGAACAGCTGGAGTCGTACATGTCCAACAGCGCGCCGGTAACCACGGTCTTAGTGGATTTCAAGTCAGCCTTCGACCAATTATGGTTCGAAGGGTGTCTGGGAAAATTGACACGGCTTGGTATACCTCGACTATACGTCAACTGAATCAACGCATGGCTAAATGATCGTAGAGCCATAGTCGAGATGCAAGGGGAAAAGTCTAGGTGGTTCACGATTAATAGGGGAGGACCACAAGGGTCGAGCGTCACACCTACTCTCTTCATAACCTACCACAGTGATATAGCACAATTCCTGCCGAGAGCTATGTGTTTCTTCTTCGCTGACGATCTTGCTGCAGTACTAGCTGACCATATGGGAGTAAAATTCGGACTACAGTGTATAGATCTTGAAAGACGACTCCATACCTTTTTTGAGCAACTGGAATTCTACTCAATTCTTGCAGTGCAAACAATTAACTACGCGAAAACACAAGCTATGTTCTCAGTACGGGCAGTAAAGTATCCAGATTCAATGCCCAAATTACAATGTGGTGGACACCCGATAGAATGGAGTAAATCCTTCAAATAACTAGGATATTGGCTTACAACAAAGTTAGGATGGGGAAATATTATAAATAAAACTCGTGTATTAACTCGACAATGGGCAGCACTGGTAAACTCCTTCACATATAGTGGCACCTCCTCGACAAAATTGAAACGTGTTCTCTTCTCCACCTTTGTATTACCTTATTTTACATGGATATTCAGTCTATTTCCCTTGTTCACGGAATGTCAAAGAGCAGAATTAAGCCATTGTTACCTTACGCTGCTGAAAAGAATCTATCGCGGACAATGTTGGAATGACTATTCCTTCTCGATTCTGTATAATGAAAGACCATTAAAAGATCTGTGTTATTCATACTGGGAAAATACCTAAAAGCCTGGTCAAGAGCAACAGATGGCTTTCTGATACTAGAACAATCCTCGCTAAACACACATCGTACAGCATGGTTGGATAGTCGTAAACGGATACGTTGTCTGTATAGATCTAGAAGATTTGTACCGCGTACCGATGTACTGGGAATGGTTCTAGAATGGATAGTGACACACGGTACCTCTAACTCGGTCACATCAATAAGTGAAGATGAACTCCTATGCTTTGCACAATTTCCAGAAACATACTAACTGAACAATCAACATCTCAATACAAATGGAATGCACATGGTTACGTTGGCAAAAAGAGGAGAGGAACAAGAGAGAATCAGGAGAGAGGCGGAAGAAGAGATGAGGAAAGAAGAAGAGAAAGAAACCGAACAAAATCACGAAACGATTAAAATAAATCGAGGATCAGGATACAGAGAAAAAGGAAACAAAAGAACAGGGCAGAGAAATGAATATACATTCCAGTCTCCCCTCTTGTTCTCTACTTGCTCATCACTCTATATATACGTATAACAAAACTTAGTATACTACTATCACAATTATTATCACCGTTACTGAAAAAAAAACACAAGTATTGCAATGATGTTATTAAACAGCTGGTATTTCATCTTCGTTGTATTCACGCACAATGCAATATGCTGGTCCTACGCTCAGGAGGTGTCGAAGCTCGATCGAAACTTGCAAGTAGCACTAGCTGCGGCAAGACATCGAGAGAGAACGAACACACACAAGGAAGAAGACCATCTAACCAATGTGAACAAAAATAAAGGCTTGATCAACACAATAGTTAACCACAACAACAAAATCAAAAATATTGAGAATGAATTTAGTGTCATGGTTAACAATTATGCAAACTCGAGTTACGTGAAGGAAATACTCGAAAAAAAAGAAATTGAAAAGCGTGTAACTGGTGGTCCTCGTCCTTATCTCTCATGGAAAGATTTTATGATCATACTGGTAACGGGAGTAATACTAGGTGGTATTCTTATCAAGGTCATGAAAAAGTTCGTGGGTCCGTGGGTAGTTCGGTACGTTAGTACTGAGGCAAGTAACAGAACGAACCAAGAGAACACAAACAATAACTTACCGGTGAACTCCAGTCTGAAGACAATATCTGTGATTGAATTAAAACATGAATTGGAGCAGCGATTAGTAAAACAAAATGAGAAATTAAATGCTATCTTGGCCAAGATCCAGATGGAAAGCGACAGAAACAAGGAGAACGAAATGCATTAGGAAAAAAGAAAACGTGGCCTCATATATGAGAATGAAACAAAAAAACATTTACATTAGTATATCCAGTCAGTCTCCTTGTAATCTATTTACATTGCATATCTTCTCGACGCTATTTGCTCTCAGCGTTTTGCCAAAATCATTTGTTGATCAAATCGTCTCTCTCTCTCTACGTGCCACAAACTCACTAACCGCCGTTTTCTTCTTATTATTTTTCTCTTCCTATTTTTCAGTCGTTATCATTCACAATATCAGTACGTCGCGCGCTTCTCAGTTGTCCCTATAGGACCAGCATGGTCCGTGGGATCTCTTCTTCTGCTAATAAAAAAAAAAGATAACGTAATTCTCGTTTTCTTTTTTCTCTTCCTAATGATTAGTATGATAAATACTGATTTCGGCGAAAGAATGCGAGGTGATCGTACAATGAAAAGGCTAATCTTATTCTGATGAAGAATTTGCTCACACATTGTTTTATTGACATGAATAGAATTTATACACTCTTTAATGGTTTAGTCACACGCAAAACTAAACTAAAAATATCAGAATTAATTGAGCGTCTAGATCAAAGAGAAGTACTTGTAGTCAAAGTCTTTCTTCTCACAATCTTATGCAGGTCCGATTATATTTTTTCGATGCCAATATATGATTTCCTTTTTCACTTGTTGACGAAATCGATTCGATGTTAATAAGAACGTATAACAACTTCCCTTCAAAAATAAATTGAATGACATAATCTTCATGAACGAAACGCGTTCAACTTACCACATAGTATAGATATGTACCCAAAGTCGTAATTGTACTAACAAGATATTCTATCATCTGTCGATTCAGATTTTTCACTGTTCCAGCTGTAATTAAACTATACGCATTATTAATTCCAAACGGTATTAAACTAACAGCAACAAGTGCAACATGAATCAATGTCATGCGTATCAATTGACGATCATAGTGTAACTCAGCAGGACGTATCGTTTGGCGAATGTTGCGATACGTCAAAATTCCAAACAAAGTCATGATGCTAACGGGTATTCCACAAATGATCGCAAGTAGATACACTGCTGAATAGACAAGATAACTTGGATTGTCACTTGTGCAAACATTCGTACTGGGTACAATGTGAGCAACGAAGAATATATGAATACAATAAACACACCAAAAAATGATGACAATGATCGATACTCGATGTGCCCATTTAATTTGACTACAATTTCGAAGGAAGTTAATCTTTGATGTGACGAAAAATTGATCGATGGTAGCCAAACATGAAAAGGTGATGGAGATAAGACTGGGAGCAATTAGAAGAAAGTTTCGTATTTTACACCATATATCAGATGATCCAATGACATCAATTTGAAAAAAGTCAATCAGAATACGAATGGGAAGATTAAGACAAACATAGAAGAGATTGTCAATTGAACCCATGAGAAAATAGAACGTACAGGGATTGATTCGATAAATACGCACTTTAGTAAAGACTAGAATATTAATCCCATTTCCAATTATACCGAATACAAGTAAGACGATGCCACCATACAGTGATAATTGTTGAGCATCTTGAAACAGCGTCATGAAAAATGTCTGTACAGTGAACTGAATTCACGAATTTCTGAAGGGGAAAGTAAAAGACTATAGACCAAAAAAAAACATGTTCTTGGAAGTTCTCCTTTATTCTAAGTTTATAGTAACATGCGAGAATAGAAAGAAGATAGAAGATAAAACGGATATAAAGCGACACGTCTCGCTTTGTCTTATGATTGAACTTTAGCACAAATACATGCAAATTTTATTAATAACTCATGTCATTGTAATTAAGATGGTTTGACATCATGAGAGAAATCCTAAAAGCTACACTCAAGTTTTTACACATATCATTTTGTCGGCAAAGACGATTATCAGAGAATATTCAATGGATCTGTGAGAAAGCTTTTCGAAAGATCGGTATATGCAAAGACGACATTCTTTGTTGTAATTATAAGTATTAATCAAAGTGGAAGATGGATTGAAATGTATGATGCGAGATAAATTGATAATTATATGGAAAAAAACGAAATAGTAGACGTGTTAATTATCCCGCTTTGATCATATTATATATGTGGAACATATGATATAAATTATCAGATATATTTCTGAATACTTTTCTACTGTAATTTTGAGAAATTTTTCTTATGAAAGCAGACATCGTCTACTGTTGCATTGGAAATATTAGTGAGACTCAAGTTCCAGAAGACTTGTCGAGGGGGGGCTCAGTATTTCAATGAACGTATTGTGCAGACACGAAATTTTTTCCACTAGGAAATCTTTTTCATTTTTATTCAAAAGAAGTCTATTAGAATATCGTCCTTAACATGATCCAACTGTAAAAACATCATATGAATGATCAGAATACATTTCTTATCAACATTTATGAATATTCGAAAACCTTTTCGGTTTCACTCTTTTTACGTAGTTCGTTTTCGCACAAATGATTTTCTATTTTGAACAATGTTGAACAATTACAAATCGATGATTCGAACGAAATCAACTACATCTAATTATAACGAACTATTTGCGTTATGGTACCACGCATCACTTCTTTTGAATAAAAAAATTAAATTCATTAGAACTAATGAATATGGAATCATTGTGTTTATGAAGTCGAAAAAACAAGATTGTAAGATCAAGTTATCTAGTAGAAAAAATGACACCACCAATTTAAATAAGAGAACATATAATATTTGAATGAGGATAAAGAGCTTTATTGATATGACTGGAATTAGCAAATATCGAAAACTATTGATAATATCTTTTCAGCAAAAACTTTCCAGGATTCTATCAATTATAATCTCTCAATTTCTTAATATTATACAATGCTAAGAGAATGCCATAAAAACGAATGTGAGTAGATTTTGAACCTGGGGCATCGAGCCAGTCTCATTTCATGCGAAAAACATCGGAATTTGATCAAATGGTATTTGTCATCGTTTTCGATTTACTATTAATCTATCTGATTTGATTGTTAAGACGTTCATATGATTTATATCCCAATCCACAAGTCTGATATTGTATTCCAAAATGATTTTACTCTTCGGATTATTATGGGATTGTTCTTTCATAGGATAAAAGTTTGTGAAATAAATTTTTGAATTAAAATTTGAAGTAAAGTGCAGAAATACGATGTGTACAAAGTTGAATATAGGTATCAAAATGGTCCGATGAAATTCCTTCGTTTACAGAAGAATATTTGTTCTTTGACTTTTTGACGAAAACGTTTCGATGTTAATAAGAATGTATAACAACTTCCCTGAAAATACATATGAATATAAATCAAACTATCTCTCTATATATTCATTTAACATACCACATAATAGAAATAAGTTCCTAAAGTAACTATCGTAGTAGCAAAATATTCTTTCATTTGCTGATCTGAATCTTTCGTAATACTAGATGTGATTAATGCATACGCTTTTGTAACACCATATGGCACTAAACTAATAGCAACAAGTGCAATATGAATCAATGTCATTCGTATCAATTGACGATCGTAGTGTAACTCAGCAAGGCGTATCGTTTGGCGAATATTACGATACGTCAACAGTCCAAATAGTGTCATGATGCTAACAGGTATTGCACAGATAACACCAAGTAAATAAATCGGTACATAAATAGAAAATGCTGGATCATCACTCTCACAAGTTTGACTTACAGGTAGTATTCGATAGAGAAAGAAAGCATGAGTACCATAGAGAGAGAAGAAAATGATAACAATGATCGATATTCGATGTGCCCATTTAATTTGACTACAATTTCGAAGGAAGTTAATCTTTGATGTGACGAAAAATTGATCAATGGTAGCCAAACATGAAAAAGTGATGGAGATAAGAGCAGGAACTGGTAGACAAAATTGTCGTATTTTACACCAAATATCAGAACCTCCATAGATATCAACTCCATAACTATCAGTCAAAAGTCGAATTGTAAGATTAAGACAAATATAGAAGAGATTGTCAATTGAACCCATGAGAAAATAGAATGTACAGGGATTGATTCGATAAATACGCACTTTAGTAAAGACGAGAATATTAATTCCATTTCCAATTATACCGAATACAAGTAGAGAGAGACCAAAATAGAGAGATAGTTGTTGAGCATCCCGAAGGAGCGACATGATAAATACTATGGTTTAGTGTTCTATTCAATACGTTCTAAAAAAACTAGTTAAGAGAAACAGTCGAATTGAGAAAAGTAGTACAGAAATGAGTGAACTTTTATAGAAATAATTTTGACCTCACCTTTAATTAGATTCATTCGATAAGATTTAATAACATACAAGTCCGACATCTTCAAACATTTGTATAATTACAGGCAGTTATAATTACAAAGAGATTCCATTACAGATCATTGCATAAATAGACTCGGAAAAGATCTATAGTCATTTCATCTATCGTGCGCTCTGTTTTAACTAGTAGTAGAAATTGTTCATTAAAGCCGATTAGGATCCGAATAAATTGACAATAAACTGAGACACAACATTTCCAAATCTGAGAACGATTTCAATTTGGTTACGCGTGAACCTGCATTCAAATTAGTTTGATATATTTTGTTTATTCTAACTGTTTAGGTAATTGGATGGTCGCACAAATCTTCTTAATTACAAGAGGTACTCTTAAAGAACCTGTAATTTGTATCATTCTGACATTCTTTCAAACACATCAGTTTCTTTTTCTTATTGCCAATATACTTATATAGATAACATCAAATCGGGATTACGCGTTTTTCAGGTAATGCAATGTTACAGTTTTAAATATAAGCAGAAATGCAACGTGAGTGATTTAGTATTTATCTTGATTTTTTCCCATGTTGGAAGATGAAGTTTTTAGTAGTAAATATTTATTTTACGATGCAATTTAATGGTTTCAAGTATTTCCTATTCCTATCTACAACTGTCACGCGTATAAACAATCGACTGCGAAACCCATTTTGGGAAACTTCCGACATATTTTGTTTAAATATTCAAAATTTTGAAAAGAAGAATTCAGTTTTCGATCCATCGCGCACGTGAGTTTCACAAAATATAAGCCATCTTCAATACATATATGGAATACTGATTTTCTCTCGTTCAAGGCACAGGAAATGTTATTCGAACGGTTTCTACTGCTAGTGTTTCAACCTCTCAGTGAGATGCTGTCTGATAGTTCAAGCCGCTATATTGGAGAAGTGAATGATAATCCAGTGGCGATTTTTGTTGTATTAGATCTTCGCACAATTAGCATGTGGGCATCTGGTATCAATAATTGGTCTGTTCTTTTCAGTACTGTCAAACGCGAAAGTTGAATTCAACTGTTCATCGAACACACTTTCTCGTAATAGCCCAGCGATATCGATTACATACATTCACTACAAATTGTAAATATTTGAGCACTCAGTTCGCATTACACTCATTTCATGTTTCTCCCCAAGTGAATGACGTTGTCAGGTATGTCTGAGCTTATTAAGATCCTTTACGTCCAGTTTATTAGTATTACGGTGTAACTAATGCGAGTGAACGTATTAATCAATAGAACAAGTTGAAATGCATCGAAATCTGTGGTTTTCTCGGAGTTCTCGAGTGTGAGATAGAATAGTACTAAGAGAAACAACTTGCATCCAATTGCTTCTATGGAAAAAAAGATCAATTTTTGATGGCGGCAGATTTTATTATCAATTTCCATTGAGATCGGATATCCGGATCGATAGAGATCGTTCAATTCTATCTGACATATCAGTTCAGCCAACTTCGTTTACATGATCACTACATATCATGGAAATCATTCTTTTATATTTATTCAAAAATGAGACAACTAGTACCAAGATAATTATTGTGAAACAATCGCCAATATGACGCTGTAATTCCTCCGACATTAATTTTTTGTTTTTCATTTGGAACATATTCGATTGTTCCAATAGTTGTCCAGTTCATACTATCATTGGAATATTGTACACTACCTGAATTTCCATGTCGTGGATCCCACATATTTATGTCTTTGTGCAATGGTGCTATCGTGATACCATTCACAAGTACCGGATACGAAAACGAAGCTTTGATCCATGATGTGCCATAATCTGTTGCAGCACCAGTTGTAAAATGATCATCTAATAGAGATTCACGTGTGTTTTCAGCATTTAATAGTTCGTACGTTGATGACATTGACAAAGTCCAATCATTTAAATCTTTCAAACAAATTAAATCAATATACATCTCGTATGACAACAATGAATACTACAAACCGATTTTCAATGTTCTCATTTCCAGTATAGTCGGAGTTTGCATTTCACCATTACTATTGACAAACAACCGCAATGAATAAAGTGTATCTGATCGCAATCGTAGTAAACGATATTTCGTATCTAAACCACGATAAACCTGAAAAAAAAGGATCTTCTATTTCAATTTTATCTTTTACAAAGAAAGATTAATTCACCTCTTGAAAATCATTATCATCTTGTCCAACTTGCAAAACATAATCATTTATAACTGAATCATCATCGTCGATTTCATCCCATTCGATGTCGAGATGATGAACGTATGATTTACATTTGTCTCGAAGAAATTTCACCGTAGCTAAAAGAGAAACCAAAATATAACGCGCAAGAAATTTCGAATATTTACGCAGCGATCCAATAAATCCCAAAGTGTCGATCATTTTTAGAATAGCTTGATTCGATATATGAAATGTTAACGAATTACCTAGTTGAGTTTGATTACAAAACTCAACATTTTCTTTTTCGATTCTTTTCATTCGTTCAATCAGATGTATTGATTGTGTCACATTCATCAAGGCATTCAAGTGTTGACCTTCTTCGAAACATCGATTTATATTCGAATTGATGCTTGATAATTCATCTTGTCGAGAACAGATCTTCTCACAACTTGTCTTGCAAAACAATTCGATGAATTTTTGAACTGAAAATAGCAAAATTTGACATACTTTCGATTTCTTTTCCAGCTGCTTCTTCATGATTTGTCGTCGAATTTGAAGATATGCTTGGATTTGATCGAATTCTCGATCGATCTTCGCTTCTCCTTCCGTTTGACTGATATGAATATCTAAATAAAACTGAAATCAACTTTCATTGAACAGATTATGAAATTTCTACTTCGTAAAGCTTGTTCTAATTGATCTTGTTCATCAACAAATGCGATTTTCAGTTTTTGAATTCTTTTCAAATGCTTATTTAACAAATCTTTCTCTTCTTTGATTAAATCAACAACTGATTTCACTTGATCACTATGCTGTTTATGAATGTCAACTGAAAGACATGCAACACAGCAGACATCCTAATAAAATGTTGTGAGAGAAGGAAATTCTGGATTCAACAAATTTACTTGGCAGGTTAAACAATACAAACACAGTGGCATATGATGAACTTTACAATCCATCGGTTTACTATTGTAATTTTCGTTGATGTGATGATGTTTTTTGTGAATCGGAACAATTTGATGTGATTTTTGAGATTTGAGAGTATGAGCGATGGTGTTGTGTTCGTCACAATAATTTGCGTTGTCTTGAACGCAATACCATGTCGCATCTATGTCGCATTCGTCACAAATTTCGTTGTGTCGTTTCGTGGATGCCATGTAAGTGTGTTAATGTAAATCGAAATAAGGCACAGGCAAAATGAATGAGCCAAAAGAAATGCATAAGAGTTTTATACAGTGCAAAATTTGTTTGTTCTTTCTTTCTCAATTGTGTTTGTCTCGATTCTCTCCCACGTTTTTTGTTGAATACAATCCATGGCTCTTTATTAGTGGAATAAAAGATGATTGATTATGTTCTCATTTTCAAAGTTAACCGAAATACGAATGAGATTTACGTATGTATATCGAATTTCGTTACAACTGGATGAATTTCCTGAGTTAGTTCTCAATAATTAATTCTACAGTTTTATACTTTTTGAAAACAAAAAAGTATGTGATTGTGATAAAGCTTTATGGTACGCACCATGGAGCATTCGACATTGCATGTTGGCGGATGTACTTTTTTCAAACGTATCTCGGGATAAAAGTATATGGTATCGACATTATTGTCAAATAGATCAACACGATTATACCACCACCAATCGTTCAAATCATTTCAAAGTGAATTATACCCAAAAGATGCAATATTTCGCTGTTCATATTATACCTATGGCTATGGTGATATCTACACGTCGGTGAAGTTAGCACCATATTCGAGTAAAAGCTTTCCATATTCGTTTAGGAATGCGTTCCAACCGTTCCAATCAGCGTTCCAAGTAGAACTCAACGAGCTCTATCTAGTGGTATGCTCAGTTGCGACCTAGTCCCAACTTTGGTTTTTCGGATCAGTACTGCCGTTATTAGAAGCCTAAAAATAAAAACTCTAGTTATGGGAAAACTGAGCATACCACTAGATAGAGCTCGTTGAGTTCTACTTGGAACGCTGTTTGGAACGGTTGGAACGCATTCCTGAACGAATATGGGAAGCTTTTACTCGAATATGGTGCCAGTATTTTATTAAAAAAATGAAGTATTTTTTAATTTTTTTAACCATCGTTTNACATTCAGTATTCTCTTAGCGTCGTCAGGAATATCTTCGATAGATGTTTTTTCTGCTGAAATTTTTCCATTTGGTTTTGTCTTTTTGAATTTAATCCATGTTTCTTCATTGGTAAGATTTGATTCTTGGTGATCATCTTCACACTCAGATGATTCTGAATCAGAATCATCCGATAAATTTCCATCCATTGGAATAGAAGTGGAGATATCGTTATTCGTACGTCTATATGTATTTTCTTTCGATGCACACGTGCTGTTTTTCTTTTTTTCTTCTTGGAAAAAAACAAAGCTTAAGAATTTTGTTTTAATCGATGTCCGAAACAATAGATTGCGTTATATATAGCAAATGCTTTCACGAAGTTCGAACCCCTATCAGATACGATATTGACATCTGACAGATCGATTACACCGTACTCCAGCAGATGACGACACAAGGTCTGTAGAATGAAAGAGAAACAAACGTTGTAGAAGTAAAAGAACACTTTCAGTATTGAAAGAACTCAGACAAAAATCATTCTCAAATGAGTTGAATATACTACATACTTCTCGAATCAGATCATAAGATTTTTTCCCATTAAATGGAATACAAAATAAATTCACCGATTTGAATTTATGATCAGCAGTTACGTATGTAATATTGAGACCGAGAAAAGCTTGTTGATTGTATTTGCTAGTCCAAAAATCCGGTGCTATCGTTATCGCTTGTGCTTTCAGTGGTTCACGAAGTTCACTCTTCAGAATAGTTCGATGTTTTTGTGCTAAATCATCAACTGTTCGAGCAACAGATTGTCTACTTCGCACCACTTCTTTCACATCGATGCAACCATATTGAGAACCTGAGAGAGGACAGTATTGATCGTTCACAATATCAAAAGTTTCCTTCACCTAATCGAATGAATGTTTGTGCTAGTTGTTGGAATCCATTATCCTCGACGATCGTGAAAGGACGGAAATCTTCACATATCCATTTAGCATACAAATGTTTGATTTCATTTTGTTCTTTCGCCGTAATGTGAGCTTTTTTCTTGATAACGATATTGTCCAAAGTGGCTTGTAATTCTTCAAGATTTCTGTGATGAGGAATAGATTGGGATAATAACGGTGAGCATCGATTGGCATGATCGATAAATCGTTTGGTGACACTTTTCGAACCATAGATTGACGTACGATAACATTTTGTGCAACTAATGTAACCATGAATTCGTTCAAATCCGTTCTTTTCATTTAGAACAGTGGGAAAACCAAATGATCGCCACCAGCTTGTGGCCTTTTAGTTGTTTTCGTTAGCCAAAATACGATATTTCTGTTTGTCTGTTCGAAGGAAAAATTCTATTTGTTTATTCGTATACAAAGATGAAGTACAACATGCACTAGAGACACTTGAAACCGATGAAAAAGATATTTCGTTTTCTTCATCAGAAGAAGATGAATGAATCTCTTCCACTAAATCGATGGATGTCGAATTCATAGCCAGATCCCTTCACTGAATGAATTGGAAGTGAAAACTAACAGACCAAAACAGTAAATACATTTTCATTGTTGTAAAACAGAAACCTTTGTTGTCGTTTTAACTATTCTTATTGGTCACATCAATCGTCCATACTACTGAAAATAGTTAGATCGTTTCAGGGAACGACATCTATCACTTTTTTTGCTTTCCTGTACACTATATCGTCGAGAAAACGTTTATTCTTTTTTATTTTCCATACAACAAAAGATTAAGGTCTAAAAGTAGCAGGGCACGATGCTTATGCCCTGCCCTGCCCTGCCCTGCCCTGCCTTATGGACACCTCTGTTCACCACTTTTAAATTAATATGATCACATTTTGGATTTTTGCGTGATGTTCCTGTGGTTTTTGAGGAGCTTTCTTGGAAGTAACGCTATAGCAATATCTCGTTTGGGTTCGCGATACCCGGCTGCGGGACGTTTTTTTGTTGTACTCATTGTAAGATCTTGAGATGGTACTTAGAGTACACATAGCTTTCGGACACAATCCGAAGTTTCTGCATTTTTGTTTACATGGGCGCGGCTGCGTCGAATGTAACGATGAAAATATTAAGGATCGACGCATGCTACGCTTCAGGGATTCGTAAATAAGACAAAAAATCGATGGATGCCTAATACTATATAAGTCGATAGTTTCTCTGCACACAAATACATTCTTCTCGTCGTCAATCTCTTCTTCTTCTTCAGCTGTATTAAATTGGTAGTAATGGCAAAGATTGTAAAAACAATGATATGGTTAATTGTGGTGCTTGCTGCTTTGACAGCTATCAATGCCGATAGAAGACCATATCGAAGAGAACAAATGGACCTACGATCATTGCTCCGCGTCGATGATCTAAGTGATGAAGAATTCGAAGAGTAGGTGAATTTGTACATATACTCCTGGGAGCTATCTAAATCTTCTCCTTTCAGAAAACGCACTGTTCCTCAATCAGTAATGATTGATTACAAAGTGACAAAAAACACAATTGGCGCTGATCGTTTTGATTGTACTCATATCAAACATAGTGTTCAAAAAGCTGGTGTTTGTATCCTCCCGCTACCTGAGGCTGTTGCCTATTGCAATGTTGATGCCACATGTGGTGGCTTTGGTCTCACAACCAACAAGAATTATCACCATGCTTTTGATCTAGCCGACCGAATGCCAGCTGCCGAACTTTTCAAAGGCACGAAAACTGTGACAAATGAAGAGTGGATATTATACGTCAAACAATAACAGCTCCTCACATACAATATCATACTACAAAAAACTATATTATCTCATACGCTCAACCGCTAGTTGCTAAATTACTTCAAGTTCTCTTACTCATCTTTCCGCTCAATTTTCTATTACTTTCTTTTTTAATTAAGAGTATTTTATTATTTAAGTACACTATAAAAAATAACAGTATAATATAAAAGTCTTCTCTTTTCTTCGACACTACATAAACTTTGCAAGGGTTTAGGGATGTCACATAAAGGGCGTCCCAGAAATTCTGAGGAAATTTTAAAATTTTTTGCTCTGGCACACAGTAAAAGCAAACTCTTTGAAACTTTCGTGGATTATTGTACATAGTTAGTACTATATGGCTAGAAAGTTGCCCATATATAACTTGTATTATGGATGAGAATCAGTAACATCATTGTCATGTACTATTTTTGGAAATTTGGCAGATCAACTTTTGGATATATCAAAATGTTTGCAATATATTTTTCCTTTCTATGTATTTTGCCGTAAGTAAATGATAAGAAATAAAATATTTTTTTCAAAGATGCGCTATGAAAACCGATACAAAATTCCCTCGACTGAAAGGAGGGTCATATTAAAAAAAAGTTTGATTGTTTGTTTATTTGTCTGTCTGTCTGTCTGTGTCAGGATCAAAGGTCAAAGGTCAAAAAAACATTTTTTTGAAAATGCTCAAAACTTCATAAAACATCGTTTGGGAGGGATTCTGAGGCTCGAGGTTGGCTGGATAACGGGTGAAGGGGCAGGGATGTGACAGAAATGAAGAAAACATTTCAACCGCGTCTGAGAGGAGGGCTACATGGAAGAGTTGATTACGAAAAAGTAAAAACACACTCGGTTGACTGTCGCATACTAAAGGCCAGTAATCCAAAAATACATTTATTCACAAGTTACATACTGGAGAGCAATCTTAAATGCTGAGCTTCGATATATAGAAAGTTTTTGTAGGCCTTTAAGCCTTTTAATTAAGGAGATAGCCTTAAATGTTCGGACGCGGATAATTTTATCTATGGGATGCTAATGGAATGCTAACTAATTTTCGATACTTTTTAGTAGCACACGGGTAATTATATGATAGATAGGGACAGCTTTGGAGCGGCGAGTTGTGAGTGGCGCCCCTGTGGAGCGCCGACGAACAATGAGCTGCGCCTGGTAATCTAGTCAGTTACCAAAGTATCAGCAATCCGACACGTTCGAATGCGAAATATATACAGAGTCTCATTTGGTCTTACCGAAATTATCTTTCTTTTAGAAAAAGGAGGGCATGTTTAAGGGTGCAAATCCATAATAATCATTTATAGCGAACTTCTGCTTCCTATGAACAGTGATTGTCAGTCAGGAATATAGAATAATTAAAAGCAGCACAAGTAGTCCTTTGACTCTTTTGAAGACTGTGAGACGAATGAAGATCAGTCTCTGGGGACCCTTTCAAAGGTTATACTTCTGTCTTTTTTTGCATAAAACGCACATAAGACTATTTTATTTTCAGTCAGTGGTTCAGTCGAGGGCATAGCGAGTCTGCCTCGACGAGCGTTGCTAGTTTTAATACTCGAATCGAGTTAACGACTTCTACACTACTATTTGTTTTGTACTTGGAAAATTCCAACTATTATTAAAACGTCCCAAGTACTTTTTCCTTTTTTTTCATTCACATATAGAATAAATATAGAAAAAGAAACAAAAAATAAGTAAGAAAAAAAGGAAAGAAAAACAGACAGAATGAAAGGAGAGTAAACGTTGAAATATGGCGTGATATTTTTCATTCACGTCGTTTGATAGACTAGTCTTCACACGCAGAATCGTTCGAAAAGTTATATTCATAAGCTATTTGAAGAATCATAAAACCTAGAAAGTGATCATGAGTTATAGTATTATTCAGCGAACTAAAACTGTACCTACTTAAGTTGTTGAACATTGTTTACAAAGTAATGGTCTTACTCAAGAGCTCCTGCAAAGTGCTCTCTTGGACATACCATTTGAACCTCTACAAGCTTTACGGACAAGATATGAGAATACGCAGCCAGCTCTTCATGATATCAACGATGTGGTATTAAATAGAGTTAATGATGATACCTCAACCTTTTTACATACAAGTAACGCGGCCTAGTAGCCGCTAAACCCTCTACTGAAAGGATAGTATTAGAGCGCTACTATTCGTCCAAAGAGAGAAAAAAGTTATTTCAGTTGAACGATTTGATAATTTGTCAGAACGTTTTACCTAGACCCATTTCACTTCCTGAAATCTTCTGAAATTATAACGCCTAGTCGTTTGTTGACCTCTCTCCGGTCCACCACTCACCGCTAGCCGTTGGTACCTAATAAGTGTTTATTGATATTTTCATATTAAAAAGTACCTCGTTCTTGTTGAGTCCGTCTCTAGCAAAGTTCCCGAAATTCTTCACAACTTCGTGACCTACAGTATATCTTTTATTATCATTTTTACTTGAATGAGTTGGTGATCTACATAGTTTTTTCTCGAAGCTCGAAAAGATGTCATATATATATATATATATATACCTTAGAAAACTTATGGACACTGCGACAGTGTTATAAATCTCACTTTTCAACTAATTTTCAAAAGAAACAACTAGTCGTTCGTCGGCCTCCCTCCGGTCGGCCACTCGCGGCTAGCCGTTACATGTACATTTTCACTCTTCCATTTAGTCTAGAGCCACTTTTGAAAGTAATCCATTCATTCTCTTCTATTCCTTCTTTAAAGTCACCCTCTTTGTGCTACTCTGACCCTCGAAGACAACACTTGACAAGCGAAACATTATTTTGAATGACTGGCATCAGATGATATTCGTATAGTATAGCTGTTTATAAAAGTGTCTGATCTCATTAATATACTGATGACTATAGAGATCCAGTGATCGGACCTCAGTCAGCTATTACATTTTTTGTTCTACATATTGCCGCTTAAAACATTATCGTCTAAAAAATTTATCCTTTGTCGCGAAAAAACGGGCCAGAAAGTGTTCATGAAAAAACTAACACCGGATTCGAGATCATCGACCCCGACTACCCTTCAATCAACCCTTACTAGTTTCAACTAGTATTAGGTAATTTGGAAGAAAAACGAACGGATGGACGGAAGGACGGAAGGACCAACATCAACTCGTTTTTTTGGTAGTATCTGCTCGACGCATAACCCTCCTTTCAGTAGAGGGAATTACACAGAATGGTATCGAGTCCTTAAGCTATATTGGAAGAATAAATGATCGATTGGTTAATGCTTCTCTTCCCGAAAGAGATAACGCAGAAGTACGCGAACTTGGACAGCGTATAATTAATAATACAATAGACTCGACACAACGAAGCATACTCTCTATGGAAAGGAACATAGCGCTGTTGGATGGGATCATTCGAGCAGATTCGGTTTCCAATAATCCAAATTCAGAAACTAACAATGAACAAGAACCAGAAGAAAATTCAAACCTGAACACAAGAAAAAGGCTTCAAGATATAATCATAAAAGCAATAGCTATTAGCATAGCTCTTATAGGTGCCGCGATTCTTATTGCTGGTGCCCTGGGACCTGGACGACAATAATCAGATTCTTCTACGTCCGATTTATCGGCAAGATAATTTTAACAGAGCTGCTTATTCATTGCGGATGGCCTGCCGGACAAAGACCACTACTTTTCAAGCGAATTTTAATTTTACAATTCTAGCTTGATTGTAATCGGTTTTTTTATTATTTGTCTGCGTAATCTTTTGAAAAAAGAAATATAATTAGTTTTCCGCACTCTTTAGTCTGTATTGTTCTTATGAGCATGATGGTGAAAAGGATAAAAAATACTTTAAATGTTCAAATCTGACTTTATTCGAATAATCAAAAGAGAGTCACAACAAAAGAAAAAAAACAAAGCAGATGAATCATGCTTCGCACCTAGATACCATGACGACTACACACAATAAGCAACACGCACATATGGGTAAAAGAAAACAAAGAGAAAGAAAAAAACTATTATAATACCTCACGAAGAATGTAATCACCATATATTAGTATGATATCGTGTCAATAAATAAAGAGAGTGATAAAGAAAAACTACAAATGCAGACCGTCGCAGTTACCCCTACTTGGCAAAAGATGTGTTCTTACTGATAAAAATATATAAATAACGCTCGTTGAGGGTGACTCGCATTACCCTCGACTGAAAATATCACAATATATTATCAATTTTGATATTTTGTTTTTCTTTGTTTCAGTCAAGAAAAATACTTTCTAATATAAACTGTATTTATTTATTTCTCTATGAAGTAAAGATACGCTAACGATATAATGATCAACTACACAAAAGAAAAGTAAAAACAAGTGAGTATTGATTGAATATAAACAAATACAAATTGGAAAAGCTAAACAAAAAATACATCTGCAGAAAAATTCGAAAAGAAATTTGTACTTATATTTGCGAACAATAAATGAATAGAAAAAAGTTTGAATTATACAAGAGATTTGTTCAATTACAAAAGATGCAAATAAATCACATGTGAAAAATGGATGACAAGTAATGAAGATTTGAAATGTTCTGTAAAATTTGTTAAAACCATTCTGAAAAGCGCATCTGTGTTTCGATGTAGAGTTTATCTAGTCTTTGCATCTCGGCGACTTGAGGTTTACTAGGTTTAATAAGTAAGACTTTGTAATCGAAATGTCGCAAAATAATTAAATCAGTTAAACGTTTGACTCTGGACAGTGGCACATAGACTGCAGGAAATATCATTTGTATCCTTTGGTAACTTTAAATCAATTACAACTTTGTTTAAAGTTTGTCCCCCAGGTCGAACAATCTCATACTCGGATCCCATCGGATCCAATATAGGTTTTTATCAGATACTACAGGAATTCGACGCATCCGATCGGATCCAGCATACGATTTGTTGACCTGGGTTGTGAATACAGTTGGTGATGATTGAACTGAACCTATGGAAATTTATTTTGGTAAACATCGACATAAAACTAGAGGTTGTTTCAAGCGAACAAGATA